CTTTGACAATATATATAGTTTATATAACAACTATATGGAAAAGGACAATGATTACATCATACACTGAATTATTAAGTGCAAACATAAACAAACACTAAGGTCTGATTCAATATTATCATGAACTGAAAATTCACCAAATATGTATTTGTTGCTTATTCTATAAAGAGCATTCTAGTGATCAGAATTAGCTGCAGTCAGTTAACGTTATTGCACAAGGTTTTTGTTCACTTACAGTCTTAGGATTTGCTGGTAAGTGGAATGTTATTCATTTATTTATTTATACAGACTAATTTGGAAGATTCACTCTTTCACTCCACAATAATTGGGATTTTCTAGCGCGTCTGTAATTTAGCCTGTATTACCTTTTTTTGTTGAACAATTGCACACGCACAATTTTAGAAATTGTCAAAACTAAAACACATGGTGTACATCAAACTAACCAGATGGGGAACTGCACAGAATATGAATATAGACAGAAATAAAAACATTAAAAATACAAATAGAAAATGTAAAACACAATAAATGTAACATGGTGATAAAGTAGTGCAAAGTCTTCAAACGAAATACATTGAGAAACATTTTCTCATGACTTTTTAGAGCACTGACAACGCCAAAGGCAGGTCTGTACTCCTCAAAACCTTGAACAAACTTCACAGCATAAAAGAGCTCTGTGTGTTGACATTCAAGTTGATGATATCTGTCTTTTTTTGAAGAAAGCTAAGAGCTTGAAACGCCAACAATGCCTTGATTGAGGGTTTTAAAATAAATCACATTATTTTCTGCCTATGTGGTTCCCTCTCCAACGTTTAGGCTCTAACTGAAGGGTAGTTGCGTCATTGTGGGGGATTTGTGTTCAGTCTCGAGCTGCCATACCAAGGCTTCAGATTGACAGTGTGACATGTTTTGTGAACATACAGGCCCACAGCCAACTATACCTCCCAGAATAATTGCTCAATCTATTCCCCAATGCTCTACTGCTGTTTCCTGCCTGTAGAATATCACAGTAATAGACGTAGAACATACAGAATGTGTTTATTTCCATATGGACGCTCTCCAATGGGTTTGTGGTGCAGTCCGTTGATTTCTAATTGTATCGTCAAACAACACTGTGATTGCTGTTTTTAAATATCGGCATTGACAGCACCATTTGCTCCCATCATCCCTTATTCTACCTGAAAGCCTCTGTCAATAAACATGCAAAGAAAAGGAAAAATATTCAGCTGAGTAAAAGCAGCTTTTGCAAAAAAAAGAAAAGCAAGGGAAAGAGTAGAGGACACAACATTATATATGCCCCCCATGATGATAATAATGTTAATGTTGTTACGGTTACAGTCAGGAGTCAGTCACTTGAGTATAAAAGTGTTTTCACAGCACCATAAACAATGCAGTTCTACTGGGAATTTACAACCACACGACCTGTTTTCTCTTCATTCATCACTCCGGCACGTATAGGCTCAGGTACCAAAATCTGATGATTTACAGCAACTGTCTATAAAAAACCTTTGGGTTTAGTAATGATATTGTCAAGCTCAATTAGTTTTATTTTAACTGCCCAAAATCTTGTCTAAAAAGCTCTCTAAACATTTATAATCTGTACAAGACCTTCAATTCAGATAAGAGAAATGTGATTCAGAAAACATGATTATTAGATTCACAAGCTAACGAATCTATCCACGTTCAATCACTGGATACTGTTTCACTGAAGGCTGTTTGTGAATGTGGCTTTCTTAAATGCATCCTACCACTCCTTATTTTAGTTTTGCGTCTAGATCAGAAGTTCCAGATGGTAATTTTGTATCTTGGCGGGAGTGACACAAGTCCTTATTTCGGTTGGATGTTCCTTTCAGTGGAGCCGCTACACGTTTTGGAGCTTAGACTCTTGGTTCTGTACTGCACAGCACTGCCTGCTGGTCAAAGTTGTGAAGATGTGAAGCTCCAATTTACTAATGCATGTATGTGGGGCGTCTTACCCAGAAGGTTGTTTGGTTTCTTATTTTGCATCCAGCTGTTCTGTTTGTGAAAAACCACTCGTTGGATGAGCATTTCTCATCATGTCAATGTCAGCCAATTTAAACTGGCGCAAACTGTTTCCTTCTTTAGTACACCGTATTCTCCCTGTAACATATCAGTGAATCACTGGCAGCTGGGATGCAGTGATTCACACATTCCAAAACTCACAATGTGACATGTTTAGATGAATACAAATGCAATCATTAAAGACCGCAGATACTGAATGAAAATAATATTAACAGTGAAACTGCATCACAAATGTCATATAAATACTTAGTTAATTTTGACTGAATGAACTTACCATACCAGGATCACCTTGAAAACTTGACCGCTGCTGCGTCCAGCTGGTATCCTCAATCTCTGATGATGAGTGACTGTATAACAACGATAGAACATTTAGAAACACACTGTTCTGAACTTCTGGAAAGCTCTGTGAGATCCAGGATGCAGACATTTAATAGAAGCACTGCGTGTGCAACTGTGGGTTTGCATGTGCCTCATCATTTATTAACATATCAGTCAAATCTTTTTTGCACACATACAACACAATATAATCTTGCTTTAGTTTAATGTCTGTCAAAGAAGCATTTTTCGACTTAGCTTAAACTAAGAGACTTATGCAATGAGATGGTCACATTAGGTGAAGTAAGTCAAGCTAACATAGGCATTTATTTCCACAATGGATTAATGTTAAACAACAAAAATAAGTTTGATCTGGTTTCAATGTCATTGCTGGGATGAAACACACGTAAGGTCACTGTTAGCGTTGGGTCATTTGTTCACAGCTTTGAGCACATGTCACTCTTCTGATAATTGTCCCATTTGTGGTTTTACAGTGTGTTCTGTAACAGCATAAGTAAACTAAAGTTAAGTAACTAAAGTTCCATATTAATAGTGTAATTGGTAATTAACTTTATTAACGTTATTTTTACTGGCTATGCTATTAGCTAGCGAATGTTTCTAAGGCTAATTGAACCTAGCAGAGCTTTTTCTGTAAATACTATTAAACAATTAAACTTCATCTGAGATGTTAACATTTCAAACATATGAGCACAAAATAAAACTGGAGAGTTATATTTTTGTGTTTCCTTAGTTGATCTACACATGACTGCGCTCAGATGAACTGAAGCTGGGCGAACGAAGGTCACATTGAGCAAAAGTCTGTCACCTCTTTTCGCTAAAAAAAGACTTGTAGGCAATGAGCACTTTGAGTAACACAAACATTCTATCGTGGGTTCAGACACATTACTATATACTATATCTACAATAGACAGTATAATGTAGATGGAATTTAATAACTTAAATTGTGTAAAGAAGCATCCAGTAAAATGCTGCATAGAGCTGTTAAATTACAGCAGTCTGCTGTCTTGTTCAAATGACGGCATTTACTGTTTAATTTACATGCAAAGGATGAACATTTACCTGTATGTTAGTTATTTTGAAAAACTAAAATTAAAAGTCCACCGTATATTTATAGCAATTTATAACAAATTTAATGTCTGATATTACGTCACTGAATGAAGAGGAGGCAGAGATCTACTGTTTCTTATAGTGCAGCTACTGTAATGCATTTATACAGTCGCTTACCGTAAACTTGATTACAGTATTGGATTGTAGGATAACTGGGTTTTGCTGTATTTTTACAGTGTAAACCAGAATATTACCATTTATTTACAAATGGTAATACAACCTGCTTTAATTTAGCATTTAATTTGCAACAAATAAAAACAAGAGTACAAAACTATAATTAGTTTTATACATACCCTCAAGACAAATATAAAATGGAAATTCGTATTACATCACAAAAGTTTAGAGGAATACTAAAACCCTAAAATGATTCATGACCTCAGATATTGAATGAAAATAGTTTCAACAGTGACTGACTAAAAACTGCATCACAGATTAGCTTGTTTACAAATCGTATGCATATGTGTAGTTAATTCTGAGTGAACTGACCATGAATAATAACAATAACAACATAGAACACCTTGAAAGAGGATTTCATTGCTGCATCCAGCTGGTATCCACAATCTCTGATGATGAGTGACTGTATCACAAACACAATAGAACATTTTGAAACAAACTGTTCTAAACGTCTGTATAGAGTAGTTTGATCAATTATGTGCCTAAACTAAACACATCAATATTGAGCTAAAAGAATAATACGGCACAGCTGAAACCAAGAGACGTATGTGAGGAGATGGTTACATTAAATAAAGTAAGTGAAGCTAAGACAGGTATTCACTTCAACTAATATTCAACAATAAAAATAAGTTTGATCTGGTTTGAATGTCACTGCTGGGATAAAACACACGTAAGGTCACTGTTAGCGTTGGGTCATTTGTTCACCGTTTTGAGCACATGTTGGCGACTTCCGCTCTCCTCTCCCTTACAATAAACGTCCCATTTGTACTCGTACATTGTGTTCTGTAACAGGGTGTAGACAGTTAAACACAAATTAAGTATCTAAATTTCCATATTAATACGGTAATTAGTGATTTACTTTGTTAACGTTATCTTTACTGACTATTCTGGTTTACCTAGCTAACATTATAGAGTTTCGTCTGCAAATATTTGCAACCTAATTTGATGTAACAGTTCAATAATAATGAGGACAAAACAAAACTGGGGACTTACATTTTCGGGTGATGAGACAATAGATGAACAATTACCTGTATGCTTGTTAAAAAACTAAAAAATACTGTTTTAAATTAGCCGTAAAATTACTGCAGTACATTGAAGAATTTGTGTAGTGGTGAACTTAGTTTTCACACTATGTACTGCATTGGGTGTGATTAAAGAACAACTTGGGGGTTTAACCGCCTTCAGGCTGGCCAGATCTATGGTTTGAATGGGGGTATAGACCGCCAGTGCCTCTCTCGCTCTCTCTCTCTTTCTCCTCCTCTGCATTGCTCCTCCTTTTACCCCCCAAACCTTCCCCTCTTATTAAAACAACACGCCCATCTGTTGTAGCCTGGTAAAAGGTTTTGGGAGCTGAAGCAGCCATAAAGGAGGCTCCACACTCAGCCGCCTGGAAGGAATTAGGCAGCAGCAACAGAGAGACTTTTGGCCACTTACTTCTCTGTGCTCTGTGAAACCTGGATGCTTGCGTGGGCAAACTCTAGAAGTACTTATCTTCATGCCACTTTTACAAACAAACAAACAAATGATTCTGATTCCTACAGAGTCATTGCTGGAAAACTTTTTTTAATTTACTGAACGATTTGGTGGCTTTTTTTGTAACTTGTAAAAACTTTTAAAAAATGAATGAAACTGCCAGAAGTTGATGGAGAAAAGTATTTTTTTGTTTTTTCATAGTTAATGCTTTATTCATACTTTTTTACATGAATGATGCCAAAGATGACTGACGTTGATGTTTGTACACATGAGAAGTTGTGTAGTTGATGACTGCAAATAGACTGTTAGAAACTAGTTGAGGACGAGCAGTCTGGGATTTTCTTTTTTTCATCCTCCTTAGCCAATTTAGAGGAACGTGCTTAAAATGTGTTATTTTGAATGCGGATCAATGTCAGCGGATTGATGAGCTTCACCACTACGCAAGTGTCCTCTGAAACTGCGTTGAGAATTTTTGTCCCTGTGGATCATCACCAGAGCTGCCGGAGCTGACCGCATCCTTCCTCAAGGACGAACCAGAGGACCACAGCTGCTTCAAGGTAGGCGGCCAGTGATCATCTGGTCTGGTGAGCACACAGCTTACTGACAGAGAGTGATCAGACAAGTTATTCGCTTAGACATGTTGATGCTCGTATGTATTTGTCAGGTTTATTTTTTATAATAAAAACGTTTTAATCTTAATAAAAGGGAGTAAGGCATTAAGTTGGGGGGAGCCAGCTGTCACTAAAGTATTTGTTTACCTTAACGGTTGTGTGTAAAACGCTAATGTCATCTAGTTGAAAGATTTGCTTTTCCTCGACAGATGTTAGCTACTGTATGAAAATAATATTACATTCACAACATGGAAGACATGTGTTTCAAAATGTTAATTTGACCCAACTTGCACAAACATCTGCGGCGCCAGCTGTGGAAACGTGCGAAACATATCCGCTAGGCTTAGTCTTGTAATCAAACAAAACTTTATGGTTTTCTGCTGCACCAGTCAGCTTCAGCCTGAGAATGAAACAAATTGCTGACTTTGCAAACTATTCGTCACTCGTGAACAAGCCAATGGGAGCGCTGAATTTAGACACGTTCAGCGTGCCTCCCGGTCTGAGTGCAGAATTTAATGGCATTTGGCACATTTGGTAACGGCAATAAATGGTGTTCTCTGAGCAGCATGGTAATGGTTACAGACATTTACCTCACTGAAATGTTGGTCCTGCACATCTGAGCTTCAGGCTCATGTTGTGTTAGTTATCCGAGTTGTAGGGCTCTTTGAAATAACTCTCTTCCTCCCTTTACACTGACCTCTTAGTATGCAGATACCTCTAAAGGCTCATGTAAAACCCACTCAAGAAATGAACACCTGTGAGCTGTGTGTCTGAGGACTCCTGACATTGATTTATTGGCCTGGTTCATCTTCTGATTGTGCATTCTTGTTCTCACGCTGTGCAAGCTGGAACCATGGTGATATCCACCTGTACGGGGTGGTGAAGCGTTCAGTCCACTGTCAGTGGTAATATATCAATGCGAAAAGTCCATTTATCCTCTTATTAGTAGGAACTTTAACTCGTCGGCTCCTCACATCTTCCGCTGTTCTGTAGTGTAATGTTCAGAAATGTGCCAAGCATGATTGTACATCTTCCATGCTAATCAGTATTAATCCAAAATGCATGTGCAGATTTTTTAAATATCTTCAGGGCACAATTTGTCTGTATAATATGTGTATGGGTGGACCCTCCGGCAATCCACACATGCATCTGCGCTAATACCAGCATACTGTCTCAGCCCTCCAGGGAGAACTTCTGCAGATCACTCAGTGTGCTACAACAAGGATGGCAATCCATCTCTGGTGCCTGTCATGGGAACCTCAAGCACTTAAACAGAGGCTTAATTATCATGCACAGCAATGTGGGGAGTCCATGAAGGCTGCCTGCTATAGCTGGGGATGGTGAATGAGTAAGAGGAGGAAAACCTTGTTCGGAACTCTTCGATAGGTGACTCAGTTTGCTGTAGACTCATCGTTGCAACAGGATGTTCTTCCGCACAGCGCACCGAGCAGTTTACTACGTGACAGAGGAAGCCATTCCATGGCTGGTCTCCATTAGGGCTCACAACACGCCCCACGTGCCATTACTGCTCACAGCATGGGTCATGCAGCATGCAGGGCCTTGGGGCTGCTAAAGTGTTAGGACAGCGTGCGTCCCCAAAGAAACACACGCAATACCAACACAACTACCTCCCTTATTTATTTTGCATTAAAGCCCCAGCGTGTTCAAGGTTCCCTTTGTAAAGAAGCAATGAAGCAGCGCCACAGTCAGCCAGTAAAAGTCAAAATTTGGATGTGGGCGAGGTTGCTGAGTTAGATTCCCA